CTAATTCACGTTGTTGCTTTGATCCGATTTTATCAATTTTCGGAAGACTTCGGCCATTCACTGAAAATTTTTGGTAAAGGGTGATTCTCGACAATTCCAGAAGAGTCGGAGACGAGGAAAGTCAGGGACGAAATTTACAGTCGGGATAGTGAAGATACGGTGGTCTTGAAATATATTGTGGATGGGAAGCCGGTAACGTTCCGACTTTTCTGGTATTGTCGGAGAGCTCCGTTCCCACAGCACGCAAAAAAGTTCCTGTTTTCCGCAACACATTTTGATGCTTTTCTGGTCAAAAAAATTTTTGTCGATACTTTTTCACAGAAACACCTTAAAATGCGACATAACCCTGATTACAGCTAGTTTCGTAATCATGAGAAAATATCAGGTTTGCGCTTGAATATGATCCAGCGGTAATGATTGACCCGTCAAACTGTAAGCAAGAGTCTGATTGAAATAAGGCTGCAAACAGTTCTTCATCACCCCTTCATGCAATTACCCTTTGCTCGTTCGAACTGACAGTGAAAAAACGGTGAGGTTTATGCATCACTATCGAATTAGATCATTTACTCACCATCATTTGAAAGTAAAAGATAGAACGTACAAACTGAGTAGCTGTTGTTGGTAAAGATATACTGTTATTGACTGAAGAGTAACGTTTTGAGAGTTGATTCTGTTTGGTTGTTGATGAAGCTGATGGCTTGTGAAAAAGACTGAATCGGTCATTATTCGCTTTGTTGATAAATCTAACTGAATTATGACTGCTGAATGAGCACGCTGTCGACTGTTCAGATGACCGAGAAAGTGAATTTGTCGCTTGATAAGCAGATTGCTTTTGTGATGGTGAAACTGCATAGGGTCTGGAAATAATAATTAGTACGATAGACAAAACGATAACGATTTGTCTCAAAATATTACAGCTGTACGTATCATTCTTTCGCCTTCAGATTACTAAACTTTATTGAAAAAACTGATCATACTCCGATTATTTTCCTCCAACTTTCCTCTGTTATTATTTGCCTCTGTTTCCGCAGTTCCATCGAAACACATTTTTGATTCATTCCTGACTTTCTCATTTTTTTACCAAACTTGGGCGAAATTTGATCAACATTGTGGTGATCAGAAGTCAAAATTACATGACTTTCAACTAAGGATATCCAGCTTTCGTTAGCCTTATTCACAAGTTCGGTAGTTCTCTTTTCACCATGAGAATTTCAGAAGGTTAGATCTCATATCTTCCTAAATTGATCCCTCCTCAAAAAAGATGGGAAAATTTCGTTCTCCTAGGTTCCTAATCTAAGAAATACGATATTAGGATGAATAATCTTTTCGAATATCGAAATCTCTGAACTCTCAGCCCAAAAAAATATGCCATTTGGGCTACGCGTGGCCCAGGCAAAATTTTACTTCAAGAAATTGCTTCTTAAAGGCACCTGGGTCAACTTGTTTTTAGTCATTTTTTAGTCAACCCTTTTTCTGTTGCGCGATTTTCTGACCCAGAACTTTTCAAGATCTTCCCTCTAATCTAGAAACAATCTTTGTGGAATTTCGCTTCAGATAAATTATTCGAAAGGTCGCTGGGTCAGATTTTTCAACCTTATGTACAACGCAGATGGCGCGCCATTTTTTTGATGAAATTTTGCAGGAATTGTTTTCAATCAGAAGTACACGATTTTGGAGGATGGAACCAAGTAAATTCCAAAACTTTCATTATTGTACCTAAGGTGGAAGGGATTTTGACCCAACGACATTTTAAATAATTTTTTATGAAGTGAATTTCACATAAATTGTTCCTACACCAAAAGGCATATTTTCTGCAGTTTTCAGAGTTTAATTTCGTCCATACGAAAATTTGTCACCCTACCGCACGCATGTGTACATATATGAAAGGTATTTTAAAACCTGTGAGTCGATGCAGAAGAAACGGATGCACTCCGTGCACCGAACGCAAAGAAGGTACGTAGCGAAATTAGTGAATGATGACGAGTTTCTCTTTCATCAAGCCTAGGCAAATAAATTCTTATCATAATAATATCATATGAAATTAATTTCTACTAACGAATCAATATTTTACTGAATTGGTTAATCGACTTACTATTATTCACTGACATTTAAGAAATATTTTTTGATGCTGTCAAGATTTTTTAATGAAAGGGGTTTGCGATTTAGTGGAGACGAGGCTGAGAACCTTCGATAACTCGCTTTGAAACTTAATCAGAAATGTAATTTAGTTTGTGGGGACGTAAAATTTCGAATCCAGTTTGGTCAATGATGTCGATGAGTTCCA